TTTGATGGGCGAATGGATCTCGCTGAATTCTTGAATTGAGTACATACGATAGAACAAATTCTTGATTTCAAAAAGATTTCGCCTGATCGAATCGTCAAGCTAGTGGCCATTAAGCTAAAAAAGTGTGTGTCGTTGTGGTGGGAGAATCTAAAGCGAAATTGGAATCGAGAAGGTAGGAGCAAAATCACCACTTGGACCAAAATGAAGAAGGAACTACACCACAAATATCTTCCGGAGCAATACCGTCAAGACCCATTCTTGAAGTTCCACTGATTGCAACAGAATAATCTCACACTGGAAGAATACATTGCTAAGTTTGAGCAATTGTCCCTACAATGCGATGTCCCTACAATGCGATCTGATGGAACCTGAAGAAAATGCAATTTTGTGTTTCTTGGGAGGCTTACATGCTTCTATAGCCAATGTGGTGCAATTGCAAAAATATTGGATGCTATGTTATTAATTTAGTATTAGAAGTAGAGAAGCAACAAGGTACGAGAAAGATATTTCAAGGCAAATTTTCTAACTGCGAAGACGAAGGGAGCTAGAGCGGCTTCAAGAAGATGACAACCGGACTTGGATCACAAAACAAAGAAGATACATGTTCGCATAACAACGAGCGAAGTTCGTCAGGAGGGTTATGTACGCCGTTTGGTGGAAATGGATTTCCGGCGCAAAAATGCTTCAAATGCCACGGGTTTGGGCATATAGTGTCAGAATGCCCAAATCGCTGAGTAGTCACTCTTATAGAGGATTTCGAACACAAACCTGAAGTTGTTGTAGAACAAGAATTGCTTGAATCTGACCAACCCCAAGAAACTATTATCATTTCCACTAAGGAAAGGGAATTTGTTGGTCCTCCAAAGGCTACTAAATTCTCAAAAAGGAGTAGGTCAGGGACACAATATTTTTAAAACAAGGTGCACTGTAGAAGGGAAGGTATGCCACATGATTATTGATAGTGGAAGCTATGAGAATGTGGTTTCCACCACAATGGTGGAAAAACTCAAATTACCCATAGAAAATCATCCCAAATTATATACTTTGTCTTGGATTAAGAAGGATAATGAGGTGCAAATAGCCAAATGTTGTTTATTCAACTTTTCCACTGGAACCTTTGATGAACAAGTTTGGTGCAATGTGGTGCCGATGGATGCTTGTCACTTTCTCTTGGGCAGACCATGGGAGTTTGATTGGAAAACCATCCATGATGGCGAAACCAATACCTATTCATTTAAACATCAAGGCAAGCAAATTGTTTTGGTACCATTACCGGGAGATCACGGACCCAAGTCGGATCAACAGCTGCTAACACGGTTTCTATTCTTGGAGGCCTTACGAGAAGTAGAATAAGGATATCTTCTAGTCTTATTTTGAGTCAAATGAGACTTCCTACAAGAACAAATATGTTGTTTAGAAGCTCTTGAATGAATACTTGGATGTTTTAACAGATAACATTCCAGTGGTTTTACCTCCTAAGCGAGAAATTGAACACGTTATAGATTTTGTGCCTTGATCTGTAATTCCCAACCGCCTCTCCTATAGGTTGAGACCGGATGAGCAGACTAAATTAACAGGACAAGTCGAGGAGCTCATAGCCAAAGGCTTTGTGAGGCCTAGTATTAGTCCCTATGCTGTTCCGGCATTACTGGTGCCAAAAAAAAGATGGGAGGCATAGGATGTGCATTGACAACAAAATCACCGTAAAATACATATTTCCTATCCCACACATAAATGACATAATTGATCAATTATATGGTGCGACGATATTCTCTAAAATTAATCTACGCAGTGGGTGTCATCAAATACGATTGAGACCCGGTGATGAGTGGAAGACTGCATTCAAAACCTTCATCAACATGAAGTTTTCTACTAGTGGATGGTTATGCCTTTCGGGCTCACCAACACGCCAAGTACTTTTATGCGAATAATAAATCATATCCTACCACTTTTTTATTCAAATTCATGGTAGTCTATTTCGATGATATTCTCATATGCAGTCATGATCTCGCAGAACATCAACAGCATCTTCGTCAAATCTTGAACCTTTTACAAGAACAACTTTTTGCAAATGAGCTGAAGTGACATTTCGCAACGAGGCTATCGAATTTCAAATGCGGGTCTAGAGGCTGGTCGGTCCAAGGTAGAAGCAATACGCAGCTGGCCCATTCCACAATCCTTCATAGACACCCGACAGTTCCATGGGCTTGCTTTGTTTTATAGAAGGTTTATTCAGATGTTCAGCTCTATGGTTGTTTCGATGACCAAAATCTTGCGAGCAGAATGATTCCATTGGACAGAAGATGCACAAGTGAGCTTTGATTCCCTTAAGCAATAGTTGATGGCTGCACCTACCTTGGTGTTGCCAAATTTTACGCAAGTTTTTGAGGTTGAATGTGATGCCTCGAATGTGGGCATTGGTGCAGTACTTAGTCAAGGTGAACACCCTGTTGCTTTTTTCTGCGAAAAATTAAATGATGTCCGCCGAAGATACTCCACCTACGATAAGGAATTTTACGCAATAGTTCGAGCTTTACATCATTGGAGTCTTTTGCTTTTTAGCTAATGAATTCATACTTTTTTCTAATCATGAAGTACTTTGTTTTCTTAATCATCAAAAGAAATTGAAAGCTAGGCATGCCATGTGATCTGAATTTTTATCTGCCTTCCACTACGTCATCAGGCATAAATCAGGCCATTGTAAACAAATAGTTGATGCTCTCAGCTGGCGACACCTCCTTCTACAGGTTTTGCAAACTAATGTTATAGAGTTTGAAAACTAAAGGAACTATACCCTAATGATGCAAATTTTAAAAATATTTGGAGTAGATGTCAAGATGGTATGTCCCATCTCTTCCATATTTAATTATTTGTTTTTCAACAACCGCCTATGCCTTCCTAACTGTTCTACCCGGTTGACATTGATAGCTGAGTACCATGAGGGAGGCTTATCTGGTCACTTTGATAGAGAAAGACACTCTCCCTATTAGCATAAAATTTTTATTGGCCTCTACTTCAAAGTGACGTTGGAAGGTATGTTAAAAGTTACTGTATTTGCAGACAAACGAAGGCAACAAGCACCAATGCAGGACTGTACTTCCTACTTCCTGTGTATAATACTCCGTGGGTGGATGTCAGTCTTGACTTTGTGGTGGGACTTCCTCGAACCCAAAGAAACAAGATTCCATTATGGTAGTGGTCGACCGATTCTCCAAGATGGTACAGTTTGTTCCATGTAATAGAACTCTTCATGCTACGCATATTGTAGATTTGTATTTTCATGAGATCGTTCGATAACATGGTATTCTAAAAATAATTAATTTTGATCGAAGTTCTTAAGCCACTTTAGGAAGACCCTTTAGGGAAAATTAGGAACTCACCTACAATATTGTTAGTTTGTACACCCCCAAACCGATGGGCAAACAGAAACCGTCAACCACAGCTTAGGTAATTTATTGCGTTGCTTTGTCGGAAAGAATGTTCGTCAGTGGGATTTGATTTTAGCTCAGATTGAATTTGCCTTCAATCGGTCACCCAATCGGTCCACTATGCAAAGTCCCTTTGAGGTTGTATATGTAGCAATCCGATTACTCCTCTTGATTTGATACCTTTCCTTTAGTCAACCAAATTTAGCTTGGATGTTGTACAACGCAAGTTGGAGATTTAACAATTACATAAGCAGGTCCAAGAGGCATAGAAAAACAAAATAGTAAGTATTAAATACAAGCCTACAAGTTACGGAAAAGAGTCAAATTTAAAGAAGTCGATCTTGTGTGGATTTGATTAAGGAGAGAATGTTTTTCTCCAGGAGCCTTCAGTAAATCTAAACCCAAGGCCGACAGACCTTTTAGAATAAATAGAAAAATCAATGACAATGCATATCAAATCGATCTCCACGGTGACTGTAATGTATCAACTACTTTCAATGTGGCTAATTTAACTCCCCATTATGATCTCGGCGCTTCTCCCACCTTGGAAGAATGATCTCGGCGCTTCTCTCACCATGAAAATAAAGATTTTTTTTTTATTGGCGTATTAGTAAAACTGAAGTTAGAGAGGCTTTAAAGAAAATGAAGTGTGGAAAAGCTGTTGGACCTGATGATATTCTAATAGAGATGTGGAAATGCTTATGAGATAAAGGAATTTCTTTGCTTACTAAACGTTTTAATACTGTTTTGAAGACTAAAAAGATGCCAGATGAGTGGAGAATGAGTGTGCTAATTCTTATTTTTAAGAATAAAGGTGATGCACAAGAGTGTGTGAATTATAGAGGAATTAAGTTAATGTATTATACTTTAAAACTATGGGAGCGAGTTATAGAGCATAGGTTGCTGTGTGATACTAATGTTTCTCAAAATCAATTTGGATTCATGCCGGGTAGGTCTACTATGGAAGTCATACATTTATTGAGAGGTTTGATGGAGAAATATAGAGAGAATAAGGAGGATCTACATATGATATTTATTGATATAGAGAAAGCATATGATAAAATTCCAAGAGAAGTGTTATGGAGAGTTCTTGAAAAGAAAGGAGTTAATAATGCTTATGTTCAAATTTAATATTTTTTTTCACTTTACGCAATTTTTGGATTTTGAGGCTTACGCCTCAAAATGGCTTGAGGCTTACGCCTCGCCTCACAAAAGAAAAATGCTTCAATACCCAATTGCGTAATTTTAAACCTTGAAGTGTGCAACAACCGGTTAATGCTTAACAATTCAACCTGTGATCAAGGCCAGCAGTGTCCGTGCAGTGGAAGTTTTGTCAAGAGTGATGGCGGGCAGTTGGCCATTTTGTTCTAGAAACCACCCTTCAAGTAGAGAAGAGGAATTCTATTTTTTCCCTCTTTATTTTTATGGGGTTAAAAGTTTTTTTTTTATTATTTTTTTTATTTTCCATTGCCAATTAGTTTAATAAGTTTTCTTGACCGCTATTTATCTGTGAAATGTTGCATTGATTTAAGAATTTTATAGAAATTGATTGATCTCATACATTGGTGATAGGAGAGGGTACAGTATCATAATGACAACCAGTCTCTCCTCAGATGTTCCAGTTGGCTATTTTTCATGGGCTGAATATGATATAATGGCACCGATGCAACCCAAGACTGCAGGAGGGCTTGCAGCTGCCTTCATTTCAAATTGTGGTGCACATAATTTCCGTTTGCAGGCTCTTGAAATGCTGGAGAAATTGGGTATAAAAATAGATTCATATGGAGGCTGCCATCGAAATCGTGATGGTAATGGTATGTGTAGACTTTGAGCCACTCGGCTTCCAGATTCACTAGTCGTTTTTTTAAAATGAAATTTGAACCTATGTTTTTTTCAAGCCAAAAAAACCAGGAAAGCAGTTACGTATATATTCTTGTACGATACAGTTAACAGGAAAACAACTAAGTGTTTTTGGCCTCCCTAATGTCCGTTATAATCAACCCAGGCCATACCTGTATGAAATTTAACTAGCTTGTTTTTAATTTCTGTCTTTGTTGAGGTATGAAAGAAGCACTTATTAGAAAGTTCAATTTTATCTGATTTGCTGTTGAACACCAGTTATGTTTCGTTTGGGGTGGCTTTTTTAATGCTTTCTAAAGCAGTTTTTTAGTACAAATTTTTCTAGTTCAGAATATTTTTATACTAAAAAGCTGCTTTAGTTCCACTCCATTGTATGATTTTTAACTGCAAATTAGGCCGTGGTCTGAAAATCATACAAATATATCTCCATCTACTCATGGCTGTTTTGGAACAGTGGATAAGTTGGAAACTCTGAAGCGGTACAAGTTCAGCTTGGCCTTTGAAAATTCCAATGAGGATGACTATGTCACAGAAAAATTCTTCCAGTCCCTTGTTGCTGGTATGCTTTGCAATGCTTGATCAGCTTGATTGTATGTTGATCATTTTGTAAATCATGTGCAGCATGAGTTTTCTGTTGTTTTATATTACTGGATTTCTTTGTGTGAAAGATTCTATATTATGAGGCTTGGTTTCTTTCAATTAATATCTCTCTATTTTCTAAAGCATTTTTTTGTTTCCTTCTTCCTTTCTATAATTTTGCAGGAGCAATACCAGTTGTTGTTGGTGCTCCGAACATTCAAGACTTTGCTCCGTCTCCTAATTCTATTTTGCATATTAGAGAACTTGGTGATGTCACCTCAGTTGCTGAAACTATGAAATACCTTGCGGAAAACCCTACTGCTTATAATAAGACATTGAGGTAATGTTATTTTTTATTGTATTTTCCGTAGCCATCTTAATCTTAAGCATTACGTTTTACTGAGCAACTTGCCCTTTTAAGCTTACTCTTGACTTCCCATGCTCTTCCTCATTGTCATTAGTACCCTAACCAATATTGCTTGTTATAAGACATGGAGTTAATTCATTCATTTATGGAAGGAGATCATCATCAAGAGTGGAATTTTTTTTTTTTTTTTTAATTGAAGGCAGCATAATTTTAAACATCATGACAACAACTGCATGGTTCCCAACTCTTTCCAAATGGGCTTGGCTGATTTGTGTAAACATAGTAACATATATGGGACACCCTCTCCTCTCCATCCACCTCTCATGAATGTTTCACTGAAAGTATGAATGGTGATTTAAAGTCTATGATCCAACTATATCTTATTTTCAAATAATTTGTGAAGAGAATCAATTGGTTAAGGAGTCAAATATGAAATTCAATCGGCCATGAATTCCTTAAGTGATCGCCCCCTCCCTCCATGAAATTTTTTATGTTTGGAAGGTTATACATAAGGTGTCAATTATAATAGAAATCAAACTTGGTCGATGGAGTATTGCTTGTATGCAATGTGATATGTAGAACTTGGTGGCTCTCTCTTTCGTCAAGATTCTAGCAAGTCTTCTATAAAAAATATTTTTATAATCTTACATATTATTTTTATGAATGATATCCACTATCTTACACAGCTCACCTTGATCTGTTGGTTGGGAGCGTAGAGTATCAAATAAGAGGTCCTGAGTTCGAGTCTTGTATATGCAATGTGTGTGTCTTCCTTAATTGGCCGAAATGTCTCAAAAAAAAAAATCCACCATCTTCTTTATTGATATCTTTGTTATGTTGTCGTGGGTGACTCTCCTTTCATCTTCATTATTTTTATTACCATCTTCAAGTTTAATTGTATAAACTACCTCTCCTATAGTCATGGACTTCTCATTTTAATTCTCTGCCATGGACTTCTCTAACTTATTATGACACAACCAATTTTTTTTTATGGCAAGCAATCGGTGCTGCTATATTCATTCAATAACACGGCAGTTTGTGCATGGATCTTTTTTTTTTTCCTTCTCTTCTTTCCACTTTGCCTATTTTTCAACAAACATTTTTTATTTAATTTTAATAGCTTTATAATATTCCTGAACACTTGATGCACTTTTGCCTTACAGTTGGAAGTTTGATGGCCCTTCTGATTCGTTCAAGGCTCTTGTAGACATGGCAGCTGTGCATTCATCTTGCAGGCTTTGTGTTCATATAGCAACCAGCATTCACGAGAAGGAAGAGGCCTCATCAGCCAGATTTCAGAAGCGACCATGCAAATGTAGCAGTAAGATGGGCACTTTATACCATTTATATGTGAGGGAGAGAGGCCGGTTCAACATGGAATCTATTTTCCTCAGGTACATATTGCACTTTTCATATTTGAATTCTATTTTTATGTTCCAGATTGCAATTTTGTTATTTTGTTCACTCGTAAATTTCAACTTTCAAATCATTTTGCTTCTTTATGAATTTGATTTTAATTTTTTAAATAAATGGAGACGTTACCTCCATTAATTTCCACTTGAATTTGATTTACATTATAAGATTAGAGAGCTGCCTTAGTTGGTTTGGTCACATTAAACGAAGGCCTTCCGATGACCCGGTTAGGAAAGTTGATGTATTAGATTTAACTTATGTTAAGAAAGATAGAGGTAGACCTAAAAATATTTGGTTAAAAAATATTGGAAATGATCATTCTTTATTAGATTTAAATGAGAATTTGACTTTTAACATGACACAACGACGAAAAAGAATTCATGTAGCCGACCCCACATAGTGGGACAAAGGCTTGATGTTGTTGTCTTGTTGTAATTTGATTTACATGTATTAATTTCCCACTCGCACAAGCAAGGCTTTGTTTGGGACTATTTTCTCACTAATTTTAAAAGCAGCTTTCTACTAAGAAAATTTTTGTACTAAAAACTGTTTCTAAAAGCAGCAGCCTAAAATTCAAGCATGAAAAAGCATTTGTTCTTGCTTTTTAGCTCATATTTTTAATTATCATTTGATGAATTTGGCAGTTCTCAGCATTTGACCTTAGAAGCATTAGAGTTTGCTGTGCTGAGAAAATTCAAGTCGCTGAATCACTTACCTATCTGGAAAAGCGAGAGGCCAGAGAGTTTAAGGGGAGGAGATGAACTAAGAGTATACAGAATATATCCAGTTGGTCTTTCTCAAAGGCAAGCTCTGTACAGCTTCAGCTTTGAGAGCAGCTCTGCACTACGGAAGCACATTGAGACTCACCCTTGCAGCAAGTTCGAAGTCATTTTTGTATGACCATATTATCTGTAATTATTTTTATTTAGAATTTATATATATTGCATTCAAAATTTTATCATTTATATATTTAACATTTAAATTTCATGATTTATATAAAACAAAACCGCCGCGAACGGCATGGGGAAGTCCTAGCAGATCTCACTGGAAGGGCGATGAGATTAGTGGCGTGTGAAAGATAGCGAAGAAGGTGAATGTAAGTGTTGTTTTTATGTTTTTTTTTTTCTTAAGTTTTGAGTGATTGTGTAAATGTTGAAGTTTAAGTGTTAAATATGTAAATGGTAGAATTTTGGGTTCTACGTATGTTGATCTTCCCGCTCTTTTTCTTTTTTATCATTTTGAATTTTGAGTGTTAAAATATGAAGAGGTTGCTTATGTATTTATTTATCTAATAATCCAACAAAATATATGGATTAAAAATTATATTTTATTTCAAATGAAATAATATTAGTGATATTTTTTATGAGATTTAAATATTTGATGTTTTATAAATAATATAAATATGTTGTATACTAAGCTTTTTATCTCATTATATGGGATTCACTACAATAATAACAGCAAGCCATTGTCCCACTATGTGGGGTTGGTTACATGAATGTTTCTCCATTGTCTATTAAGAATAAAATTTTAATTTAAATATAATAAAAAACGACCATTTATAATATTTCTTAATCAAATTCTTTAAAGTTTATTTCTATTTTTCTTAACATTGGTGAAATTTAATATATCTAATCTCTCTAATCTTATTTGCCATTGGAGTTACTCCAACATTTTCACTTATAAGTTCATTGCACATTCTTTCTAATATATATATAATTTTGCTCTTTCTAATATATCTAATCCTAAGCATTTTCATCTTTTTAACATTTAATTTTATTTTATGCTGGTCTTTAAATGGCCAATACTCTACGTAAAGTATTGCAAGTCTCACAACCATCTTATAGATATGGACAAGGCTTGAATTCAATATTTTGATAATAATTCTTATAGTTTTTATCAATTAAATAGCTTTTCACATAACCATTTATGAATTTGGCCTTCACTCAGAGAGATTATTTTGTGCGGTGTTTGAACGCGTTCGGATGTCAGTTTGGATCTGCCATGTCATTCAATGCACTGTGTATTGGGTGACGTAGCGCATCCGGATTGACCTCCGGATGTTTTTTTTCGGATACTGCACGTAATAACTTTTTTCTGAAGTGGACTTCCATTTTCTTGGTTTGCTTAAAGCATTCATAAGTTTCTCTCTCATAACTTAGGGCTGATTTGATTGCTTGTAAATAGAAAATATATTTAAAAAATAATTTACTTATTTTAACTGTGAAATCGATGATATTTTCACTTTGAGAGTTAAAAAAAATTGGGGAGGTGGAATTAATATTGGTGTATAAGTATCTTTTTTCCCAAAAGAAGCTAAATCAATTCCTGAGGATATTTTATGAAAGCTAAGCCCGCATTTCCATTGAGTAGGAACAGATAGTGGTGAGATGATCCGCCGGACTTACTAGATAAAGCTTTTATTTGGGACAGTTGAATAAATAAAATATTAAGAATTGTTATTAATTTTTTACGTATCAAATAAAATTATGCATTTAAAAGAGTTGTATGGCTGTCAAAATTTAGCCATCAATATATTTTATTTTATTTTTTGCAATAAATGCGTCTATACACAACCTTTGAAATAATAATAAAATAAATATGATAAATACTATTGCAATTATTGAGATTCAGATGACATAGGCGGATATTAACTCTATAAAGATGCAAAAATTTTAAAACAAAATTACCATTCAATTAAAAAAAAAAAACAATAATATCTTATCTAAAATTTGAATCAAAATAAATTTCAAAGTCATAGAATTTACTTCATAAAAATATATAAGCGCATCATAAAATTTGATTAATTCTTCATCAATTACATTCATCTCAAAATAACTACAATAATCATAAGACTCGTCATAATCAAAATTTGATAAAAATATTCCGACCCAAATTATTTTCATTCCAATCTACCCAACAAGCAAAATCCTTAACAAATGCTAAACTAAGCATTTCATAAAGAGATACAAGGCTTCCCTTCTCAGGAGCCCACAAAAAAAAAAGAAAAAAAAAAATCACTTAAAGCATCTCATGCGTGTTTATTCTGTAGAAGACAAAGGCTCTTCTCTTCTTCTTCCCTTTTACACCAAATAATCTGAAGCTGGAAATATTAGAAGATTCCAAAGAAACCAGAAGCCATAAATGACCTTAGAGACCTTCAGCTTGAGGTTCCAGGACTGGTTAGAAGAGTTTTGGCCACATAGATTTGCTTCATTTTAGAAGATCCAATACTCCTATTAGAGCTGTTGGTGTTCCCATATTTTCCATGAAATGTGTTTCTTCGGCCATATTGGCCACCAGAACTTATCTTCTGAGAAGAAGAGCCTCCTGAATCTTCAGTCTTTCCAATTCCAGAATTTGGAATAATGCCTTTTGAATCATTTTTTATGCTAGTTGTTGAATGGTTTCTTGAAGAGGATCGGACGGTCTGTGTGGATTCGACGAGGCTGAGTTCGTCCGGCAGATCGACCGTGGCGGAATGGTGCGGATCGGAAGGCATGCTTTGGAGCTGTTCGGGCGCCGTTGAGCGTCGAATAGAACTGGGAGAATGAGGATGTGGGATGGGTGGCCATTGAGCTGGAACTGGTATCTCTGCTGATGACTGGATGATAAAAGAAAGTTGCTTCAATACATAGAGAGAAATGAAAAAGATAAAATAAATAACATTAACAATTCTACATGATTAAGAAATTAAATTTTTAGTGCTTTGTCAGAACAATTTGTGCACAATCACTTCAACACCTTGGTTAATGACATTTATGTGCTGGACTTCAAATAGACCAATCAAACCGATCTTCTACTAAAAATTCAAGAGGAATCTTTCATTTAACTGAAAGATTTCTCTAATGAAAAGAATAAAAAATTCTCTTTGTTCAGCGTCGGAACACCTCTATTGTTTAATTGTGTGTTATCCTAACATAGCCTTAAAAGCACCATTCCATTTGGTAGCTTCTTCAATTTGGGTGGTAATATGTAGCAGATAGTCCAACATTCGGATAACATTTCTCGTAATATTAGCAAAAGAGTCTTTATTATCTGTGCACATTAATGCCTATTACATGTGGTAGGAGAGAAATAACAACATTTTTAGAGGAAAGGCTCTCAATAAAAATATCATTACTGAAAAAATCAAATTTGTTGTGAGATTAAAAAGCAGAAGATTGAATTTCAAAGAGGAGTTTTGTCGACCCATTTGAAACTTCTACTTGGTGTCTCTTGTTTATGGGGATTATTGTTTCCGTGCTGGTATTTCTCTCTAGAATTCTTTGTACTCTGTTTTCCTTTCTATGCTTTCTTGCTGCATCGATGTTGGGTGCTGAATATGTCATGGTATTTATCCTAGTTTCTAGGGCTGCAAGCGAACCAAGCGTTCGATAGGCTACTCGTTGCTCAGTTCAGTTAAAGTTTATTTGTAATCGTTTAATTAACTAAATAAACAAACTTGAATAACATTTTAAATACTCGATCCTTAAATAAACCACTAGGCCAATTCTTTCTGATCGTCTCTTCTCTGTTTCTCAGGCCAATTCTCTCTAGTCATTATTCTTCCCGACCTTCTTCTATATTTCAAGCAATTTTATTCATTCTTCTCCCTCATCTTCTTCTTTACAATATGGAATATCCTCATCATAAACATCTGATATCATGACATCAGAATCAAGAAGCAATTCAAAAATTCCAAATCTTCGTGGCAATGATTCTCCCATTCTCATCATAGGACAAATTAAATGGTCATAATTATTTACAGTGGTCACAATTTGTGTTGATGTTCATTTATGGTAAGGGAAATGATGAGTACCTCACGGGAAAAATAGTCAAGCCAGAGACTACATATCCGAGTTTAAGAAAGTGGAAGATTGAAAATAATATGATCATTTGTGGTTTATCAATTCAATGAACAATACATAGGTGAAAATTTTTCATTGTTTAGACAACAAAAGAAATATAGGCTGCAGCCAAGGAGACTTAAACTTTGAAAATACTTCAGTGTTGTTTTAGGTTGAGTCAATACTTCATGCCTTCCGTCAAAGAGAGCAATCTATTTCTTAGTATTACAACACACACATAGTATTGACAAAAATTTGATTTATTCTAAACTTACTCATGGACATATCCAAAAGATGCAGTAACGTTCAAGAAGATTGTAGAACAAAAAAGGCTATCCAAGTTTTTCTAAGGATTTAACAGGGAGTTAGAAGATCTTCAAGGTCGAATCATGGGCGCTAAACCACTACAAAATCTTAGAGAGGCTTTCTTAGAGGTTAGGTCTGAAGAAAATAGAAAGAAAGAGAAGATGGAATCTAAGGAATAACCCGCATCAACATTGGATGTATCTACCCTTGTTGTTCGATCATCTAACAGTAATGGTGGAGATCATCAGAAACTGGAAATGCATTTGGTATGTTAAGTGTAAGAAACAGGTCATTACAAGAAGACTTGTTGGAAGCTCCATGGCAAACCAGCTGATTGGAAGCCAAAGCCATGGTTTGATAGAGATAGCAAAGTACATGAGGCTTCCAACTCTAAGAGTACTCCTATGGTGATCATCATAAACAGAAAAGGCCTTGGCATGATTACTATAAAAACTAGGTCATTACAAGGAGACTTGTTGAAAGCTCCATAGCAAACAAGTTGATCGGAAACCAAAGCCACAGTTTTATAGAAACAACAAAGCACATGGGGCTTCCAACTCTGAAAGTACTCCTATTCCCGAGAGCAAAGCACATATGGATTTGCTATATAAATTGTTTAGTCAAGTTGGGAGTGGTAGCATTACTGGGACTTGTTTGGTTACTTAAACAGATTCACACACTACATCCACAGCGCCACTACTAACAGAGGACACAAGGCGCTGTGGATAGTCAACACTAGTCCTTCTGATCATATGACAAGAGACGCCGCCCTTCTCCAAAATTACAATCCTAGTGGCCACTCATCCATTCGTATTGCTGATTGTACGACATTTGTTCATGTGAATCCTCAATACCATAGCAAATTTGATCCTAGAGCTAATAAATGTATTTTCTAGGATACAACTCAAAAAATGATACAAATGTTATTTTCCAACCAATAAAAAAATTTATACCACCATCGATGTCTCTTTCTTTAAACATGTGTCCTTATATCTCAAATCTCATGTTTAGTGGAAAAGCATGAATGAACATCAAGTTTGAGAGTTCTTTTTTGAGTTTATGCCCTTGGCCCACTAAGAGTCGCCAAGTTCTTCTCAACCCATGTTTGTGCCCAAAGACTGTACACAAGACTTGTCCACACCCATGCATGTTCAATCATCAATCCAGACCACAAATATTTCTTCTCCTGTACCTACTCAATTTGTGGCTCCACAACTTGCTAATAAGAATTTTCAAGTCTACATCAAGAGGAAAAAGACGGGTGCTAGAACACAGATCATAGTTAGCATGTGGCCAAGATATCGACTTAATTTCAAGTCCACCTGAAGAAAACATAGGTATGGATAAGATTGAAAATATGTCAATTCCCAACATTGATGACCCTATCATGCAAATTACATTGAAGAATAGTGTTAGGAGATATACAAGTCATCCAATTGAGAATTATGTTAGTTATGAAGGGCTATCACTATCTTACAAATTGATGATATCCATGTTTCTAACACAAAACAAGAGGCGTTACAAAATTCAGAGTGAAAGAAGGCAGTACAAGATGAGATTAATGCACTTGAGAAGAATAGAACATGAACTTTTACTGATTTGCCAGCAAGAAAAAGGAACGTGGGGTGCAAGTGAATTTTCACTATAAAATATAAAGCAGATGAATCAATTGAAGATTCAACGCTCGATTGGTGGCTAGAGGCTTTATAAAATCTTATGGGATAGACTATCAAAAAAATTTTGCTCTTGTCATAAAACTTAACACTATCAGAATTCTTCTTTCATTGACTGTAAATTAGAATTGATTCTTGCAACAACTAGACATAAAAAATACTTTCTAAATGGTGACCTTGAAGATGAAGTCTACATGAAAATCCCACCTAGTTTTGAAGAAAATTATGACCAAAAAAATCATGTTTGCAAACTCAAGAAGTCCATGTACAGACTTTAACAATCTCCTCGAGCCTGATTTGACAAATTCACAAAATTGTTTTGAAGCTAGACTTCATACAGGGGTCAAGCTAATCATACTTCTTTTGTCAATAATTCTCATGCTAGGAAAATTGTTATATTGATAGTCTATGTCAATGATGTTATTCTACATGGGAATGATGTGGAAGAATTATAAAATTTAAAGAAGTATTCATCAGAAGAGTTTGAAGGTGAAGATATTGGAAATCTTAAATATTTCATTGGAATGGAAGTGGCTAGATCAAGAAAGGGCATTATTGTTTCTCAAAGGAAATATATTCTAGATCTTTTTAAGGAGACCGGTATGCTTGGATGCAAACTTATTGATACTCTTATGGACAATTAGAAAAAATTGGGCATCGAGAAAGAAAGAACATTTGCAGAAAGTAGGAGATATAAAAATTTGTTGGACGTCTGATCTATCTTTTACACATTCGGCCAGATAATAATTTTCAAGCATCTATCAATTCATATACAGTAGAGGAACACATGGAAGCAGTCTATAGGATTCTTAGATACTTGAAGATGACACCAAAGAAGGGCTATTCTTCAGAAAGACAGAGAATCGTGATAGTGAAGTGTATTCAGATGCAAATTGGGTAAGAAACATCATTGGCATACGCTCAACTTCTGTGTACTATTCATTTGTATGAGGTAATCTTGTTACCTGAAGGAGTAAGAATCAATCAATTGTAGCTAGTAGTAGTGCAGAAATCGAGTACAGAGCACTTGGACAAAGAATTTGTGAATGGATTTAGATAAAAAAAAAGCTATTAGTGAACTGAGAGTCTGAGGCAAATGAGTTCATCTCCTATTCTGATGATGTGTGATAATTAGATAGTAATTAGCATAGCCAAGAACCCCGTGCATCATGACAGAACTAAGCACGTTGAAATTGGCACAGAGAAGTTAACTAGTGAGACTATTAAATTGAAAGACATTCCTACCAAACAACAAACTGTAGACATCCTCATCAAAGCTCTACCTAGACCTAACATTGAATACATAATTTGTAAGCTTATATGATATATTCTCCAACTTGAGGGGGTGTTGAATATTTAAAGTGAAAGTTAGAGAATTTATTTTAACAAAATATTTTTAGGAATAAAAGAAGAGATCGATTGTTATCTTCTCCTATAATTCTATTTTTATTTTAGAAATATATTTCTAGGAAAGATAGATTAATTATGATATTCTCCTATGATCTTATTTTCAAATTTTTAGGAAAAAATTATTCTCCTATAATTATATTTCTTAAATTTTTAAAAAGAATTGAGCTAGTTGGCTATTTCTTTTATTACACACTTTTTTAGTACGTATATGTAAATATAGTACCCTTTAACAAGAAGAATAATTAATTAAGAAATTCTTCATCTTGTCTTAAATATTCCTTTGTTTCTATTTTAACATTTACATGTAATCTCTCTCTCCCATATTATATCCCTATTGTAATTGATTTTACATGAATGAATGTTGAGTGTGGCCCTCAATTTTCCAAAAAAAAAAAAAAAAAAGCGTACATGATCAAGAAAAACTTTTGGAGTCAGAGGATGCATTATAAATAAATTTGCTTCAATAATCAGAGAGAAACAAAAAAAATGAATAACCATAACTATAGTAAATGAAAAAGAAATTAAACCTTTGGAGTGGGAGTTTAACAAGATAAAGAAATTTGCTTAAACAGTCAGAGATAAATGGAAAAATAAATAAATAAGTAATTTTATTACTAAAGCAATTAATTGTAAATGACAAACAAATTAATTTTTTTGAGTCAGCATATGGTATAGAAATTTGCTATAACAATCGGATAGAGATGAAAAAAATTGAAGTAATTTTAACAATTGCACATGATCTTTCGTATCAAAGCTTAGATAAGAAGATTTTAATGAATTGGGTTCAAATTATTCCAATGAAACTTGAAGATTTTCTGGTGTGACTCATAATAGTTTTTCGGAATTTGTCGTCTTAGCATCAATTAATTGCCAGAAAAGCTAGCCAATGCTGAAGAGTAGTTTATAAGTGTTCCACAATTCATCAATTGCCAAGTTAGAAGTTCTCCTAGAGATTATTATAAATAAGGGTCATTTATGTAATTCTATGATGCAAAAATACAATATAGCAACACGTACATGACATGACATGTACACTGAATCACATCAAATACTGAAAAAATAGGGCACGGACCCAAATTGAACACGGTATTATAATTTTTATATCTTAAAAATATTGTATAGAAACTAAATAACTAGAATATTAAAAATAATTGAGAAATAAGAAGTTATTTGATTATAATATGTGCTTAAAATGATTAATATTATAATGTAAAGAGTCAGAAGTCAATTTCGTTTGTCAGGCAGCGGGGGGTAAGATGACAATGCTATAGAGAGTCGGGCATCGATATCGTGTGTATTTGGTTTTAGATCCACTCAAACAAAAAGCTTTAGGCTCTAAGATTAACCTCCGTAATTCAAGTTTTTCTTCAACTCCCTTTCCCTCATAATCAATAAGAAGAATGTAATTAGATAAAAGCATGCACCAGAATACATCCTCTTGTAAATGACTAGTAAGAATATCTATAAATTAAGCAAAGAGATTTGAGCTTAAAGCTGATCCTTAATATAATCCAATTGAAATAGAAAAATAATTGGTCAAGGCATCTTGTGTTTGAACACAAATAATAGCTCCTCTATACATATCCTTAATGACTTGAATATAAGCATTATTAACTCATTTCTTTTCTAGAACTCTCCCAAGCACTCATTTTAAAATTTTATCATATATTTTCTTGAAATCAATAAATATCATATGTATATCCTCCATACTATCTGTGTACTTCCCTATCAAAACCTCTCAATAAATATATAGCTTCTATAGTAAATCTCGCCGCCACGAATCAAAATTGATTTTGAGAAACATTAGTATCACGTCATAACATATATGCTCGATCACTCTTTCCGATAGATTTAATGTATGACACATGAACTTAATTCCTACATAATTCACAAACTCTTATGCATTTGTTTTATTCTTAAAAATAGAAACCAGCATACTCCACCAGAGATGTAAATGAGCCGAGCTAGCTCGTGAGCGAGCTCGACTCGTTAAAAAGCTCAAGGGCCAAGCTTATTGAGCCATCAGTTCGAGCTCGAGCCTATTCTCAAGCTTGTATATTAAACAAGCTCAAGCTCGAGCTCAGCCTACCTCGGCTCGAAAGCTTATTGAGCCGCTTGATTAACTTAAATATATTTGAAAATTAATTTAAAATTATTTTATATAATATATTTTAATATTTTTTAATTAATTCTAAATTACAAATAAAAAATTTTATAAAAATTGAAAATTTTAATTTAAAACTAATAAATTAAGCTCAATAATCGAGTCAAGCTCAAGCTTTTCAAATGAGCTGAAGCAATCGAGTCAAGAAGTACCTTAATATTAATTATTCTAAATCATTCTAAAATTTTAATTTTGAATAAATATCCAAACCCACTTGAGGAGCATAAACACTTATAATATTAATAATCTTAACATTAACAATAATCTTTAAAGCTATAATTATATCTCAAACTGTATTAATTTATATAATATTATCCTTCAAACTCTTATTTATAATCACATCTACATCATTTCTAGTACAACTTCTACTCATATACCATAGCTTAAATCCTAAACTATCAATCTTCTCAGCTTTTTCTCTAATCCATTTAGTTTCCTAAATGTATAAAATATTTGTCTTCCTAATAATAATATCTATTAATTTCATTAATTTGCCTATAAAAAAATAAATATTCTAAGTTCTTATCCTAATTCTAGTTTTATGGATCCATCCATAATGTGAGAACTCTTGTTTATTCAACACTATGCCTGGACACCGGTGCAGCAGCCCTTTATATTTTTTGTTGTATTCAAGCTATACAACACGCCTCTTACAGGGAACGTCCTAGAATTAATACAATGTACAAGAAGATTAATGTCATGATTATTCGATAAGTTTTATGCTGACTATCGACTACCTAACACAACCTTTCACTTTTCTAGTCCAAGGCTTAGGACCCAACAATGACAATGTTGCTATAATCCTTCCACAATGAAAATGATATTGCAAAATTTACTTTATATAAACACCTCCATGAACGAAAGAGAACTCCACAAAATCACTCACATCCCTATGGAACAAGATTATACCATTTTATAATATCTTGATGAGTTAAATTACTATTATATATTTACCACGATATAGCCACTATCATCACAATGAATGGTTGAGTAGTTAAGAAATAATTTTAGGTATTTCAAATCTTAATAATTCAAAATAAGCATTATTTCCTTTCAAACAAATAGTAATATTACTATATTAATCCCATCTCTACATATATAACACAACAAAATGATCAAAATGGTACCTCGACTCTTTGTAAGGGACCAAAAAGGTCCCCAACTCTTTTGAAAGACCAATTTGTCTCTCAGCTTCATAAAAAGGGGCCTTCGTATTAACATCAAATTTTGGGGTTATTGGTGTTAAATCAAGCGGAATTTTAGCCGTTTTTAATTAATTATTTATTAAATATAATTTTCAAGTAATAGTAATTTAAAAAAATAATTAAATATTTATTAAAATTTTAGTTTTAATTTAAAAATTATTAATAATTCTAGTTTTAATTTAGATTATTCTAAATTAGAATTATTAATACTTTTTTATTAAAGAAATGTTTAATATATTTTTTTAATAATATTACTTGAAATTTATATTTAATAAATAATTTAATTAAAAAATGACCAAAATACCCATTGATTTAATACTATTAACCCCAGAATTTGAAATTTGGACAAAAAATGCACCTCTTTAAAGAGTTAAAGGACCAAATTGATCCCTCAAAAAAGTTGGAGACCATTTTGGTCCCTTACAAAGACTTGAGGGACTATTTGATCATTTTCTCTATATAGCACACGTATAGGTCATTAAGATTCTATTCCTGTAGATATGAAAAACTAATTTCAACTTGTGAAAGATAACTATTCAATTAAATATTGAAATATATAACACAAGTAAATCTACTATTCTATATTAAATTAGCCTTTTTTTTCCTCAACATTAAGTTGAAACATCCTAAACATGCATGCCTGCTTAATCTAATATCAAAAGTCGGGTGAAAAAGTAAAAGTATGCTAAAGAAAACGAGGCTAGAAAATATAAGCTGATTGTTACTTTTTTTTTTTTAATACATGACGTCAATTAGGACTGAACTCACAAAACAATTCGAACTTGCAGAAGTAAATTTTATAAAGCTCTAAGTTATAACTTAGAAAGCATTAAAAACATAAATAAGAATAGATGATAATCAAATAAAATTTTATATGAATATTGCCACTAAAACCTTACATAGTAAGATTTTTTTACTGAAAAAGGGAGTATGTGATGATTTGACTTAAAAAATTAAATTAAAAAACAATTAGATGTAAATAAAGTGAGTGCTTAAATATTGCAAACAGAATCACTATGGGTAAGCTACCAGCTACTAGTGTGATTCCGAGATGGCTTACATTACATGGGTAGCTATAATATTTGGTTTACAATGTAGGATAGCTACATATTATAGTTTTAAGTTTTAAAATGCTATGTATTTTCAGTAATCCTGACAAAAATTAGAATATGGAATTGTTCAGAACTAATATGCCGAAAAAATTTAAAATGATTCTTAATTGTTTAAGTTTATTCATTTGAGTCCTGAACTTCTCAATTGTTCAATTTGATTCTTCAACTCATCAAATTTGAATCCTAACCTCAATTTTGCCATATTATTAACAGAAACTGATGGGGGAAGCTTTACATTAGTATTTTGAACTTTTTAAGATCAATCTCATTACATAAGACCAACTCAAATTAATGATATTGATTATAAAAGGTCCAAAATGCCATCAGCTTTCCTCCAATTTTCATCCAAATAGACAACAAAGTTGATAGTAGGACCAATTGATTCAAATTTGATGAGTGGAGTAACTAAATTGAACATATGAAAAATCAAGTAATAAAATGAACACACTTTAAAAAAAATTCTACTGATCATTTACTCAAGGAGCACTTAAAGCAGATTTGTTAGGTTCAAATAAATGCTTCCCACATATTTAGAGAAAAAAAAAAAATACCTGGAAGGGCCTAAGATTGAACAGAGTAAACGGTGAAGTCACTTGCATGACTGCTGATCCCGTAGACAAATGCTGAATTGAAGTAGGCACATGGGCTGCATTTTGTTGTCCAAAAACAACGTTTAGATTGCTGGTATCAGCCTTGCTCACATTCACTGCAGCAGTACCATCTGAGCCGTGTGTCCAGTCAGTCTGCTTTCCACTAGGTAGGTAAGCACTGCCCATATAACTAAGGCCAACTTGACCTAATTGCCCAACAGGAGCAAAATGATTATAAAATACCATTGGAGGATGACCATGAACGCCAGAGAGCCCAGTAGGGGAACTCATAAATGGAGCAGGAAACCCTGCTGGTGATCCATAGAATGATGATTCAACACCAGAATGGCATTGTGGCCACGTTCCAGTTGGCCCTGAAAGAAAAGTTGGATTCTGTTGTTGTTGTGCCAGAGTTCCAGTGGAATCATCCTGGGACCTGAATGCAAAAATGGGTCCACCTAGCATGGAGTTTGAATCAAAGAAAGGAAAAGGAGAAGGTTGTGGCCCAGCCATATGGGAAAGCATGGGACGAGATGAGTGAAGAGTCGGTAACGGTGGCCACAATGAGAGCGGTGCATCCACAGATAGATCTGCCGGAAGAGTGACAATCAATGACTCTTCACTTGCTGATTGACCAGTTGTACTAGTGCAGCTAGTCACACCTGCCATAAGCATAACAATTCATAAGAATTTAGGGCCTAGGTTTATCCAATGCAGGAATAAGAAAAATACCTGGACAACTTAGTCCTTTGGTTCCAATACCACAAATGGAGCTTGTGCCTAACGTAGAAACAGTTATTTCATCATTAGTAATTACAGCAACAGCAACAGCAGAAGCAGCAGCTTCTGCTTCAGCCTCAGTGTCATCCAGGTGCGTACAAGAACCACTAGGGCACTTTTCTCTATCAAAAATTTTACTATCACTACGATCAGTCGCAGGTAAGTGATGAATAATTGATGAATTCAGTATAACCGAGCCAGGAGGCCATATGCCACTTGGGGCAGGTTGGCTGAAAGGAGGCAGCGGTGGTGGTGACATGACAGCACCTAACGTCAGTAAATATGCTGTCAGACTCTTAAAAATCACGTCAAAATGTTTTCAAAGGCATCAATAAAATACTCACCAAACTGAATTCTCTCCTCATCAAATGGGAAGTTCGGCAGGTTCTCAGAGGAAAACGATGATTTGTCCTTGATCATAGTAGTTGGTGCGTGCTTGTTATCATCTGAAGAAACTTTCGCAAGTCCAATTGGATTACATTGCACAGGATTCGAGGACTCATCAAGTTGAGACTGGTTAGAGGTAACTGCCTGGGAGATGAGTCACTTTCAGGGAATGCCAAAAATGAAGAATTTCATGTGTATAAATTTTATATAACCATACAAAACTATGCAAAGATGAAATCCAAATGAGCTTTGTAATGGAAAACTAGCCGCTGATCCTTTAGCAGGCAATGATGTGTGGATTCAATCAAGAAAGTACTGCACACAACATCAATCAAATTCCAGCAATTAAATAATAATGTTATAAGCAGGATACCTAATAATATAATTTTGCAGGATTTCAAATAGTCATAGAGAAGCAGCTTAACCGGGCAAAACCACAAAAATATGTTCACCAAATTATAAAAAATGTTTTCACTATTAGAGTTAATCTATGATGCACTGACACTTCTCCTCAAAAAGGCATACAGTCTCTGACACAACACTCGTCCGACACGCCTCCGACACATGTCGGACACGCCAAAAATGTGTCAGATGAAAAAAATATTAAATACAAAATGGACATGCATGTCCGACAAGCATGTCTTAACTATTTTATGATTTTTTTTAAAAACATAATTTCTTGTAGTTAAAATTTTTATTTATTTAAAATATAAAAACTAAATATCTTATTTCATATCCATAACATCAAATCAATCACCAGCACTCAATACCTCATTCATCGAATATTCTCATTTTCATTTCTCTTTGGCAACTCATGGCTTTGGTTGCACAACAATCCCGATGTCATCTCAACATTGATGTTTGACATCGTTCCAACATCGACATTTCAAAACCATCTCAATATCAAAGTCTGACATTGTCTTGACATTGATGCTCGACGCTAGCAATTTTTATACCTACAACTTGACAACTCATCTTTGTCTGGCGTATTCTTAACATCAAAGAAAGACGCAATTTGAAATTGACGCCCAATACTTACTACATAACATAAATGCCTGATTCTCCATAACACTGTCATCTCCTCTCTCGATGCATGATACACGATATCAATGTCGGACTCTCAACATCCTAATATTAATCATTTCAGCACAAATTCTAGTTAACTGACTTATTATTTCTAAATTATATTTAATATTATACTTATTTAATTTTTATACACTATTTTTTAAATATAAAAATTATAATATCATGTCCAGCCCGTGTTGGTGTCATATATTTTCAATAATTAACGTGTCTCGTATACGTGTCGTGTTATATCCGTGTCGTCGTGTCCATGTTTGTGCATCATAGTGGTTAATAGAAACTAAAATAAAATAAAATCCTGCAATTGGTGACTTAACTAAAAAGGTGCAACATTAGAATTAAGTTTTCAGTTACTTTTCTTTTAATCAAGTCCCCAATACTGAAACAAAAGCATAATCAAATTCAAGACAGGCTAAAACAAGGACTTTAATAGGTTTAATTCAATGAAGTTAACATCTTTTTCTTTTTTTCCAGGGTAAACATGTAAAGCTCAAGTTACAATTGCAAAGTAAAATTAAAATCAAAAACCAAAACCCACTCTGAAATGGTTATCTGAACCTAAATCTTGACGGGTAGGCTGCATATGCTTAGATTTTGGCCAGGTTTTCCATAACCAGGCATTTGAATAGCCATAACAGAATAAGTTAGCAAATCAATTTGTCAATTCTTTTTAAGTTGACCTATGTTGAAAATTAGACATAATATTTAGAGTAATAATTCATTGATAAGTCAATGAGTACAAGCATATGCACACAAACATAGAAGCGCACACAAACGAACACAAATGTATGAGTTAAGATTAATACTGGTTCATAAGGGCTGCTTGGTTGAAAGTAAAATAAGTGTAAAGTATTCCAAATGCAAGGGCTTTGACAATATTAGTGTTTGTTTGAAAAAAAAAATTTGCAAAGTAAAATAAATGTAATGTAAACCATATTAGTTCATTTTTGAGGTATACTAAGCTCGCAAAGTTTTGAGAGAACTGTTTACACTGCAACCAAGTTCACTTAACCGCTGCCCACCAGCTGCCGCCTCCCACCACCACCACCATCCTCCACCACTCAATGCTAGCCACCAATGCCGCCATCAGCCGCCACCCGCAACAGGACACCCGCCACCACCACCCCCCACCATCTTTAAACTTGGAATGTACCTTCCAAAAAAAAAGACACCTTTAAAGCTGGGGAATCATCAAATACAGCCAACCTAGCACTAATAACCATAAAATTAACTTTTGATATTGACAAAGTCACTCATCATGTAAGAATAAATTAACGAAAACCTAGGACCAAGAAAATAATCTAATATTATTTCCAGTTTTTAAAATATTTTAGGAATTATTTTGATTTCATTTTATTTTATTATTATAATTAATGTTAATCAAATTAGATGATATGACATCAAGACTTATCCAGGTTAGAATTCTAATTAGTTTTTTTTTTTAGTTTTTAACTTTATTTCTATAAAAAAGGGTGACGCAAATATGAAAATTTATGCTCATCAGCATGCAAATCATGCACATTGACGCTGTTTTAGTCGTTTAAATTTTTGCATTCAAGTATATTTCACAGTAAACCTATGAGGAAGAGAAGTGCTCTCTAATGTGTTTATATTCCCTTGGCCAATTTTAGTTGACTACTTAGACTGCAAGTAAGTCAATTCAGCTCCCAGCAGATTCCTTAATTCAACAGTTTCAATTCCTTGTTTTAACACAAGTTTCAACCTCGCTTTCTTAAAAGATTCTGAGCTATTATCAACAAATACAACACCAAGTTATTGCAATACTTGCTTGACAGCTTGATCGTACATGTAATGAACTTCAAAGAAAGCCCTTACATTTTCATATTCATTGATGGACCACTGTAATTAAAACTTACAACATGTGTGCTCATCATAGAGGTATGACTCAAGTATGTGTTTGGACATTGAGGACCTGAGTTTTATGATTACCTCCCTGGTTAGAATTTGCATTAATGAAACTGTTCATCGGAGGGAGAGAGGATGTTTGTCTGGAGTGTTCAAGTTGTGCAAATGAACGCCTCCCTGGTTAGAATTAAGTAAATGCACTTTATATTTTGTATTTTACTAATAATTTTTTTAAATGTCATAATATTTACTGCCTATTAGACTTTCAAAGTGAGCTAAGGAGCCTTAACTTCATCGCCTGATAAACCAGGAATGATGAGAGCAGACATGATCGACAAAATATATTTGCTCGATCAAAGAAGACTCAAGAGCTCTGACATAATTACCTGATTAGCTGTGACCAACAAGAATGATATCAGTCCTAAGCAGCATAGATCGGTTAGACTAGGGATGAATTTGAAACCTTATCTTATGTAGCATGATCAATTGTGACCAACAGGAATGACCCAAGTCCTTGGTGAAATAGATCGAGGAAGCCTGATTTCCCAATTTATGTCCCCCGATCAACAATGAACAGACCTAGGCATTAGGTGGGTTCGGTCAAGTTTCAAATGGGTCATTCTGGATCAATGGCTTGAAGAACATTAATGAAGCCCAACTCAACCTAATCGTCGGGTTAGGATCTTTGATCCGTACCTAGATTTGATTGAGTTAGGCACGGTCAAATCAACTCAAGCTAATTAAAGTATACTAAAAGAATCTCCAGACGTTGAGACGTGGGAGGCGTGCATTACAATTTATTCATTAGTAATGGATTTCTATTAAGCCGCTTTAAGGGCCTGTTTGGCAACCAACAGGATTTAACTATTTAGGATCTAGTAATTCCTATAAATCTTGGATTTAGTAAATTCTAGAGCAGTTAAATTCTGAAAGTTGTTTGGCAAGTTAAGTAATGAATCCTGTTAAATCTTGTGGAACTGTTTGACAATGTAATACAGGATTTAAGCCGGTTAGTTCATTTAAAAATTAAATTTATTATATTTTTAATTTAATTTTCATATTAAGTAAGAGTTATTTATTAATTTCAATTTTAATTACAATCAATAAGTTATAATGATAAATAATATATTTAGAAACTAGCTTAATTATCAAATAATTTAATTACTAAATATAGTACTAAGTGTCAAATTACTTATTTAGTTTATAATTAAAAAATAATATAATTAAGAAATAGTTTAAAATTGAAATTACTTATTAATTTCAACTTTAATTATATTTTTAATTATTCATTTTAATTATTAATAACTAATCATTGTAAATAATATAATTCAAATTTCAATTAATTATCAATCTGAGTAATTAATTAATTATCAAGTATATTAATTTTTTTAATTAATTAAATCAGTTGATCTAATTTAAGTAATTTCTATGATACTTCTCTGTCAATGTAATGGCCAGCAATTTCAAGAATTTCTACTCTGGTTGTTGTAGCCGTAGGCCTAGGGTTTTCTTTTCCTCTTCTCCAGGTATCAGTAGTTGTTCGACTTTGCTCGCTTCGCGTGTGAGGTAAAGTTTTGAATGAGTCAATAAAAGACTTCTTCGCCTCCTTCGACAATGTTCCTTCCTGTTAGGTCGGAAGTCACAACAGCTCGCCGTTCTTTTGTTGGATCAGAAGTAACGATGATAACGGGAGGGAGAGAACCCGTTACAAAGATAACCATTTTATCCCATTCGTGCACTTCTTCAGTCAAAATCCCATAAATCCACTGAACTCCCAAATTTAGTAAATCCGGATTTACCACAAATACGTGATAACGGAGAATTTATTCCACCGTGAGATTTATGCCAAGTCAACATCCTATTTGGCAGGATTTGTGCTAAATCCTGCTTTAAATCCTGTGTAAATCTTGTTGCCAAACAGCCCCTAAATGTTGGGCAAATATTTAAATTGATTTTTTAAAGTGGATTGATTATAATAAAACCGGGCCTTGTAAAAAATAGCTTATCAAGTTATTATAAATAAATCAAACCTAAAAGTTTTATAGCATTCATATTTAATAACTTGGAGCCAAGTGGGAGCAACTAGTGACGCTTTCCTTAAAGCAAGGTAGCACTCGGGTTCGACTATATTTACGGTACATTTTTTTCTTGATCTTCTTTCTTCAAGATAGCTAGTTTCACCACAAGAACTAGTTAAGTTTTCTTTTTCATTTGTTTCAGCTTCATATTCCACGCCTGCATGTTTCCTCCTCCCCCTCCTAACCTTCAATGGCAGCCAGTGACCTGATTTATTCTTCCTAGAATACTTCCAGGGCAACAACATTTTTTTTCCTCTTCTCATTCTTCTTCACTAGGCATATCATTTACAGCAAGGCATTTTTTATTTTTATTTTTATTTTTTGAAAATTTAAACTATCTAAAATATAATTGATAATTGAGAATAATAAATAGTATACCTATTTTTGTGCCGCAGTGTGTATCAAGTGTAACTAGTAAACTCTAATAATTAATTATTTGAGTTTTAAATCTTTTGACTTATCAAATAAAGTAATGTTTTTTCTCTCTTATAGATTTTAGACTTCTGAAATAATGGTTAAATATTTAACTAAAAAAAAGAACATACTTTGGAAATATGGAGTTCAAGTTGAAATTGAAGCAAACAAGGCAAAATAAGGCTATGTTTACAAAAATGTAATTTTGCAGAAAAATTATCAAACCTGTTAAAAATCAACAGTACATCTCACTTAAATTCATAAAAAAAGTAAGAGCATATCATAAAGTTAAATGAAAGACCTCTAATTATCTTAAGCATTTACATTAAAAAAAAAAAATCTTAAGCATTTACATCTTTGAACCATCAACAATACATTGATGAAATGATATAAATTCATATTCTACCGGAGATAGTAGTTGTGGACCTAGTGGTGATGTTTCTTCCTTAAGAGGAACACGTAGTCCCCATGGATCGATTTGTTTTTTATGTGGAACTTGATGATAATGATCTAATAATGCCACCAGTTTCTGGAAAAGAACCATGAAATTTGGATTTTTTTTTTAAACGGGGTTGCATTTATTCCATAATGAGATGTTCTATTGAAAAATCCTTCCATTCATAACCTCTGAACATGGGTATTGAAAGAGAAAGTAAATACTACTAAGAAGTAAGGAAAACATGGGCACAAATAGGAGCTTAAATAATATCAAATGGTTGCTTAGACATAAGATTAAATATTCATTAATTTTTATTTATCAACAGTTCTAATGGCATAATATATTTGAAATGTATTGATGCATGTGAGCACATCAAAAATGCAGATTGGTTGTTCAAAATAATTGATGATATTTTTGAAATATCTAAGAAGAACAAGACACTCAATATTAATAGATAATGCAAGTGCATATAAAAACGTACAAAGGATGCCAATGGAAAAAGGGGAAACATCTTTATTGGAGTCCTTACGCAGCCTATCTAAATTGGAATCTTGAAAAAGTTTGAGACTTTTCGCAACGTTAAAAAGCTTCCACCAAAGTCAAAAAAATTATGCATTCACCAATAAACTTATTAGGGTAGAAAGTTTGATGATAAAGTTTACACATAGAGAAAATTTGAGACCAACTGTTAAAAGTTTTGCCACAACTTAATTAACTTTGTAAAGCATCTATGGAATGAGGAAGAAATTAGAAGCCAGGTTTACTTCTAAAATGGAACAATAGTTTGTTTGCCAAATGCTGTGAAGGAAAAAAAGTAAAGAAATTTATAGAATAGTTAAAAAGAAATTCTAACAGCAGCTATTTCGCTTCAATCGTTCTTTCTACATCAACAATACTACTATAGATGCAAATAACAGCATGATGATTAAGGTACAAAGAAATACACTGCAGAAAACAGAGGCAATAAAGATTTAGTCAGTTACCTGCTGATTCAAGTGAACAGTTCCCCAAGAACCTAAAGGTACTGAAGCCTTATCAAGAGCAATAATATTGTTACCAAAGGACAAGCTAGGCTCAACATTCCCTCTATCATTAGCTATGGCTAAATCAGAACCTGCACGACTGGACCTGTAGGAGATAATGTGAGCGTAGCTAGAAAAGAAATAATTTCAACGGAAATAATTCTAACAGAGCCTTACTTCAGACTATTGAACTTTGAATCATAATCAGCAGAGTTCACATCAGGGCTGCCAATTGCTGCTATTGTCGGGCATATCATGCTTGTAGTAGTTAACTTTGGGGCCTCCGGATCAGATGATGGCCTTCTATGTGAAATGGCAGGAACAGAATGAACATTTTTTGCAGCACCTCCATCTGTAAAAGTAGTAACCATATCTGATTTATAGGCGATTCCATTACTTGAAAGAGTAACACGATGCCTGTGAGGTACCTGTTAGCAAAGCAACATGTTAAGTTACTGAAGATGTATTGGTTAAACCAACAGATAGCTTAAGTTGCCTAGTTAAAAATAGATTCCGTATAAGTAGTAGTTCATTACTCTTGTGGCCTTATGTTTGGAATTGGTTTCTCTCTCCCTCTGCCCTCGCCGTTCATTTGATATCTTCTTTTTAGACCGTACCTCAACAAAACCATCACCATCAGAAGAAGCTTCAATTCCAGGCTGATTAAAAACCCTGACAATGCCACTGTGCAAAGGAGCATCAATATCATCCTCTGGAAGCCCGTTCATGTTTAAATTTCCTCTGCCCCCATAAAAATTGGTAGAAGCAGACATGCTGGTCTGCAGAGTTTCTCTCTTATTGTCTAGTTTCATATTGCTAATCACACCCATAACTTGTGCATCAGAAAGGGCTGCTTCTTCATTCATCAGCTTTGTTGATTTACTTGTAACAGCACCCTTCTTGCCCACATTTCTTAAGGGAATCCCCACAGGATCGTTACCAGAATTGGGCTTCCAATTGTAGCTACTTTGTTTAAAACCCTCTGTGCATTGCATTTGCCTTGCTCCACTCTCCTTAACTCTATATTCTGTTCCCTGAATATGCCTCTGAACCTTTCTTTGAGGTCGATTTGCATTTACATATGAGGTTTCAGTCCTTGCAAAGGATGAAAGGGAACCAGCATTTCTAACATTGTATGTTAATCTGCTCCCTCTAATCTCAGATATAGTTTCAGGAGCTTTCAGCCCAGCCAAAGATTTTCTAGCAGAAGAAAATGAATCAAAATTTGATCTGCCTCGTGTCCGTTTAGAATAAACCATGGATCTAAAGTTCTTATTTGAAATAGCATCAGGATAGCCTGAATGGGAAATCAAGTTTTGAAAATCTTTCTTCTCATCAGAAACAGCTGAAGCTATCCGTCTCTTCGAATTAATAACATCATCCCTTGGTATATCCAACAATGCAGTAGGCTGTTCAGAATCCAAATTATTTTGAGATGGGTTAGTGATCCCTGGAGAACAAACAGGTTGCTTATCTGCTGAATAAGAAGGATGTCGTTTTTCCAAGCCCTTTGTTGAAGTAGGATCTTGACTCACTTGGTTCTTTGAGGAGCCTCCAGAAGGATGATGTGTGTAGGAAAAGGTCTGCGCAGATATTGGCAGCACACTTTGAGAGGTGGGTGGTGCGTATACTATCTGACCAAATTGCAAAAATGGAGGATGTGGAGGATTTACATGGGTAAAAGAATCAATCTGTGAATTTAGAGGAAGTGGCATCTGAATTGAACCAATTTGAATAGTGGGAAGAGGAGAGGGTATCAATGGAGGACTAGAAAATAGTCCAAACTGAAGCTTAGCAGGCACATCATTCTGGCCAAAAGAGGTACGAACTGAGGCTGAGTTGGAGCAAAGTGTTGATGTTGAAGGCAATGGTAAACGTGATACAGCTGCAATAGGATTTTGACCTGAGTTTTTAGATGCTCTGATGCCATCAGCAGGATGATCAGCAGTTGTTACTAGACCGAAAATCATGTCTTCCTGCTCCTTAACAGCTTCTTCTACAATTTCAGAAGAGGCATTCAAAATTTTATCGGATATCTTCTCTTCTGATTGCAAACCAACTGCCCTGCTATCAGCAAAAATATGCTCTGCAGTGGAATCACTGTCATGTCCCGCATTTGAACTCGTCTTTTCATTGAATTCAGAATCCTTATTAAACAAATAGTGACCAGAAGTTCCTAATTGAACATTACTTTCAATGCCATAAGAAGCATGACCTATTTCCATTGGTTTCTCAACAACTACATTCAAGGATTCAAGCTTATTTTTCATTTGAATCTCCCAAGTATCATTTTCATGTACCCCATTATCTTCCTGGTTACTATCAGAACCCTCATCATGATCTTCTTCTTGCATTTCTTCATTGTCCTCAATAGCCCATTCATCATCTTCACCATGAAAAGGTATAACCTCTAATTCAATTTTCCCAACATCCAATTCTGGTATCATGGATTTGCCCTCAGAGAAGGTCATATTTTCCTCCTCAGCAGAAATTGTTATAGCTGGGGAACCTCCGCAATCATCAAATTCATCATTCGAAAGTTGGGTAGGTGAACTAGGGGGATTAGAGACAGAGAGAGATGACTGAGAGCCATATCTTGGGCTACTCTTTTCCTCTGTTTGCAACAAAGATTGAGCAGGTTCTTCCATCAATTCAGGCATTCTGGGTTGTACTCCGGGTTCTATGATTCTTTGACGATAACTACAATCATACACACTCTGCACATTGGATTCTTCGTTTCTGCCTGTTTGGTTGATTCGTGCGTCGCTGGAAACTGAAAATGATGAATTAGGGCCTGTTGATGCAGCTCCAAGAGGCTTGTTATGAACAGAGGATGACATGGATGGAGGCGGGGGCACGCGAGGCTGCCTTATGGTATGACGAACCCTACTAAATGAGGCTAGGTCATCCATCTCACTGTTCTGGAAAGATCTTTCTGAATAAGGGCCAAGCTGGCTTCCATCAAAATGACCATGGTCCCATCCACTAAACATGGCATCAATATTGGATCTCCCATTAAATTGATCACAATCCCTGTTTATATCCCAGCTATGAGCAATTTGAGCCTGATCACCTGACATTCCTCTCTTAAAAGATGTTGCAACAGACTTTGGCCCATAAATGCCCTGGAATTGTTTCCTGTGAGCGCTTCTGTTCGAAGAAAATCCATCCTGCCGTCCAGATAGATGACCACTATCTTGATCTTGGGATTTAATAATTGAATTGCTATCATTGTTCCAGTTATTTTCTGTCTTTCCATGTTGATAAAATGAATGGTTCTCAACGCTTGAAGTGTGAGACCTAAACCCTGCTTCAGATAAGCTACTCATACTGGGTGAATCCAATGAGGGAGAGCTGCTAATGCGTTCCGCTATTGTTTCAGTTTTCTCACTTCTAGAAAGATCAGAATCCCTCACAGAATTTTTTTCCTTCATCCTATCATTGGCATTAGCTTCAGTCTGCCTACTTGCAATCCTGGCCTCCAATTCTAACAGCTTTTGCCTAGCAGCTTCTTTTCTTCTTTCTTCCTCCATAAGAATCTTCTTCTTCTCCTCCTCTCTTGCAATCCGTAGCTCCTCTGCTCTCCTTGCAGCTTCCAACTTCTCTTGCTCGGCTCTCCACGCAGCCTCCCTTGCCTCTTCTTCAAGCAACCGCCTCCTCTGTTCCTCCTCGCGGACTATTCTCTCCCTCTCTTCAGCTTCTCTACGAGCAACCTCCATTAGTCTAGTTTGTTCTTCCATCACACGCTGCCTCTCCTGCTCTTGCAGCCTTTGAACCCTTTCAAGCTCGGCTTCAAATGATTCCCTTGCAGGATCAAAGAGATCTGCGTGCTTTACAGCTTCTTTCCTTTTCCTGAGCACTTTACCCTTCAAATCCAACATGACATCACTAGAAAAAGTATCCTTCCCACCCCAACTGGCATTCTCAGTATATGATCTCCCAACATTTGGCATTAACTTTTCTTTAGTGAAACTCTGCAATGAATCATATGTAGAAAGACCTTTAATCCTTGGAGACAAATGGCCCTTAGAGATCTTAGAGTTATTAAAAAGTTTCCCTCTTTGCCAAACTTCGGCCCTGTCAATAGAACCTTCAGTAACTACTCCAGTACCAATGCCCATACCGGAGCCAAATTCTTTTCTGTCTCCAAAAGGCAATCGATCATGGCTGCCTTCTTTACCAGTTCCTCTACTCATAGCTGAATTCCTAGGACCAAAATGATCCTTATCAACATGCAACTGATGGGTAGTCAAAATTTCTCTGTTCGGCTCAACCGTTATCCTCCAAGAGTTAAAATTACGATCTTCCTTTCTGAAGGCCGAGAACTCCTTCCCATATGGATCGCCTCTGCCTGAATCCTTCGACAAAGAACTACGAGGTTCAACATCCGGAAAGACACGACCATCATAATGATCAACATGATTCCTGTCTCGCTCATCATCATCCCAATCAGATGCGCGCCTCATTCTCACATGTGGGAGAGAACCAGGGAAAGTACCAACCTCCTTCCTTGATTGCTCAAAATAATCCGAGACACGATTTGATCTTCCATCACTGCCCTGGTTATTCTTCATAGTCGGAGGTGACGATCTCAACTTTGGATTCATATCAACTACAGACGGCAGCTCAGCTTTCTCTGCCCACACATCAGAGTTCTCGTTAACTTGCTTCTGCTTCTGCTTTGAGAAATATGTAGATGTTGCCATAAGAGACGGAAAATCCTCCCCTTTCAATATCACAGTTTTCTCCATAAAACCTTGCGGCTGAACGCTGCTACTAAAACTTCGTTGCTCAACCGTAGACAAAGTTCTTGAACCGCCATCTTTATCACTAAAATCTGAAATAGGCGGAGTAGGCTTGGTCCAGCTCATAGAAGAGCTGTTCCCAATCCCCAGCCCAGATCCGCCATGGCCTGACGAGGGCTTTGATAAAGCTGGATCGAGACGCTCGTGCTCCTTTCTTAGCGAAGGCAGGTTCACGGGGGGCGGAACAGCCAGCCTCGGCGCAGGCTTAAGCGCGCTGGCCCCTGAGGAGCTCCGAGGCCGGGAGAGAACCACCATCCCACCGCCGCTACCAGCGGAGCGAGGACGGCCATTTCCATAGCCGGCAACGGTTGAAGACGAAGACGATTTACCGTAGGATTTGTTGAGATTAACAGAAAGAAATTTGCTGTGATGGGCCATAAACAATAAGACCTCCCAGAAACCAAAACGACATGAAACTCCTCGATCACCTCGCCGCGCACAATAGAAAAAAAGAAAGGATCTCACGGCCGATGGCTAGGATTAGGGTTTCGGCGTTTCCGCGTCGACCAAGGAGAGAAAGGGAAAGAGGTCTGAGCGGTGAAGGAAGGTAAGATTGCCGTCGATCCTATCTATTTCAGCGATGTCTGTGAACGTTCTTACTACGACGGTGAGTTAGGGTTCAGGCACGGCAGAGGAGACGAAGCGGGAGTCTCTGACCTGAGAGAATCCCGGCTCGAGGGAAGAAGAGGGATGGTTGAGTTCTCACGTGAAATACTGCGACCCGTAAATTGGGAATAAATAAATTTCAGCCGTCCATTATTTGTATGCCTATTAAATAGACTAATTAGTTAAACATTAAGTAACATGAATAATAAGTGTATCGATTAATTATTAGAATTTTGGTGTGAAATTAATTAAGATTTGCATAAATTTAATTATACTAATTAATATTTAGATGAAATTACTTATTAATTAATAAAAATAATATGACTAATTATTTAATATTTAATTGCTTATTAGACTTATTAATTAATATTTAGATGAAATTACTTATTAATTAATATTTAGATGAAATTACTTATTAATTAATAAAAATAATATGACTAATTCTTTTATATTTAACTACTGAATTTGCTAAGGCTTAAGGGAGTTTTATGGTAGAGTCTAAATATTAATATATTAAGAATTAATTTAGATATATTTTAAAGGTTAGATGATTACTACATTTGTTTCACATCGAGACCGTAAAGTTTATTTCACATTTCTTGGGGCTAAATTAATAGCCTCGTAGGCCTGGGTTACCTAGTAGCAATCGGGTTTGATTAAATTTATTTAAATTGCTTAAAATTAAAGGTGGATTAATATTAAATACTTTAGTTAGTGGCCAATTTTAAGAAATTGGTTGAGTGTTTTATTAATAAAATTAGGAAATTCTAGAATTTTATCCATTATTAGACTTTTGAATTATTAGAATTATCTAAGGGTTTTAATTAAGGGGTTAAGAAATTGACTTTTCAAATTAAAATGAATTTTGAAGATTTTAGATTTTTAATAAATATTAGACCTTATAATGAGTAGTTAGACTGTTATTATGCTTGATTAGGAGTTTTCTATGAAAAGTTATAAATTTCGGAAGTTTAGACTTAGATTTTGACTTAGGTTTGACCAAACTATTGACTTTGACAAAATTTTGATTTTTTAACATTTTTAGAAAATACTAAACCTTAATAGGAGTTGATTGCCTTTGGTTTGATTAAATTGGATTTTTCTAGAATTATTTATGATTTTTTCAAAGTTTTCTTAATTAATTGAATTTTAAAATTTGTTTAATTAGGAAGGTTTTGGGAGTTTTAATTGAAATCAACTCTAAATCTCATGGAATCACCTCCAAAGGTCAGGAATGACCCAAGGAGGTGTTTCCAAGTGTTTAGAATTTATTTGGGTTTTTTTATTAATTTTATTAATTAATTTGATTAATTGTTACTTTTTATTAGAAATCAAATAAAGGCTAGATTAGAGGTTCAGTCAAAGGGCTTTATTTTCCCTAGGTAGATAACTACATTCTGGTCATTTTGAAGTATTATTTGCATTTTTTTAACTTAATTTGGATTTATTACATTTTTTGAATTTTTTGGGTCCTCAAAGAGGATAAATTTTGATAAGGATAATTTTATGACATAATGAGCTCCAAATTCAGTAAAATTTAAAGCTATGGTTTAAAATATCACTAAGTTTACTTTGTTCAAGTTTCACCCCTATTGGGTGTGTGTACAGCTCCCTAGAAAATTTTTAAGTTTTATAGACATTTTCCTTATTATTTTCCCTAGGTGTATCTACTATTCAAATGGGCATGACACTTGGCGTGTCTAACCCTGGTACACATGCATTCACGTCACAAAAAATTCACAGAAAAATACTAAAAATCGAAGGAGTTATGAATTTTTGAATTTTTGGGTCCAAAACGGACCCATTACCTTGAAAATTCATATCACAGAAAATTACAAAGCATCTGACCCTAGAAAAAACACAGAATATGCCTAAGATGCTCAAGAACATTCCACCAAAATTTGAGATCAATTTGATCCCTGGATTGCAAGAAAATTGGAAAAAAATAAATTCAAACAAACTCAGTTTTCTTATAATCCAAAGTTCAAAACAAATTAAAATTAATTTTAATAAATACTACATTAAATTATCTTTCCAACAAGCCCAAAATTCAATTTTCTATGAATTTTAAAAGATTGGGCATTTTTTGAATTTTTTTAAAACAAATTTGAGTTAAATCAGCCGCCGGCCCAATCATTGGCGCGGTGGCATAGCATCACGGCATAGTGCCATATATCGAGCCTTGAATAAGCCACTTAACCACATTAGATCCACGATCTGACCGTTAAAACCAAATGCGATGAGATCGACAGCCGAGAGGCCACCCTGTCATCATCTTAGACCGTGGGAGGACCCGTGTTCAAATCTGGAGGGAAACCATGCGATCAGGGGGCGATGCGGCTGATTCTGGGCTGTCCGATCACACCTTCAGCGCGATCGGATGGCTCTAGTTGAACTAGAGTCAAATTTGGTCAAAATTTTTCAAATACCCATATCTTCCAAAATACTCAACAAAATCTAACAAAATTAGAAACACAACTAGAGGGCAACGTAATCTAAGAATGTCGAGAGTTTGGAAGCTCCATACATTGTAGATTTTCTATAGTTTCAAATTTGATTTCCACCTAAAAGTAAGAAAATCTTACAATCTAGCTAGTGGATTTTTGTAATCTTGGGCTCCTTTTGCTCCTACTGATGTTTGCTATAAGTTTTCTGAAGACTCTAGAGGATTTTGATGGTTGGATTGCAAGTTGTTGAAGATAGAACATTTTTTCTCTCTAGAATGGCCTCTCCTCACTAGAATAGTGATTTGAGACTTGGAAATGGTGGGGAGAAGCTTGAGAGGGCCTTAGGGAGTGCAGGAGAGTGTAGGAAGCTCTTGGAGAGTTTTTGGGGCTGCTGGAGCTTGGGACTTAGGTGAAAAATGAGCAATATATGGGATTAGGGCAAGTTCTCCTACCTTAAGCCCTTGCTTTTGAATTGTATGGCTATGATTCAATTAGGAAGGGCTTAGATGGGTGACATGTGTCCCATGTGTAGCCTAAAAATAGGAGAAAGCAGGTAATTTAAAGGAGACTTGCCTTAAGCCAAGAGAGGGGGCCCACACCCCTTTTTCCTCATTTGGCTAAACCAAGCCATGGCATGGTTAATAGAGCTGGATTATGGGTCAATTAAGAAGGGAAAAAGCTTATCTCCATCAGCCTAAAGCATATTTTGGCTTGGAGAATGGGTTTGGTTATGTGGCGTTAAGGGTGCAACCGAGTCAGGCCGACTCGCGAGCCGGCTCGAACTCGACTCGGTAACGGGCTCGATGAGTCGTGCTTAACGAGCCCGTGAGTCGAGCTCGAACACGAGTTCGAGCTCGATGCTAATCGAGCTCGAGTTTGAACATGTCTCTGACTCGACTCGTCGGCTCGACGAGCTGCTCGACGCACGCGGAAATCCAATTCTGGCAAGCGGGAAATCTAATTCTAGCAAGCGGAAATCCAGTTTTGGCGAGCGGGAAATTGAAATCTTAGAGCACGCATGGATCTAGACGACGAACGAGCTCGATACGACGTCGTCGGACGCGAATAGAGCTCGGAACGACGATGGCTTTACTCGGGACAACGATGGTTCATGGATGAGCTCGGGATGATGGATCTTGGTGGCAGAGCTCGTCCAGAGCTCGTTGAATCTCGACTTGGTGGCAGAGCTCGTCGGATCTCTTGGTGGCAGAGCTCAGGCGACGGATCATGACGGCGGAGCTCAGGAAGATGACGGACAAGCTCGTGATGACGGTTCTCGACGCCCGATGGGACTTTGAGTTCGGGATGACGAATTTAAGTGTGCAATCGAGTCAAGCCGTACGCCGACGTTGTCGTTGGAAGCAGACGTGGACGCCGGACGGTGACGAAGCAACATTGGAGACGTCGCAGAATTGGCGACGACGCGAGCACGTCCGAGCTCGAACTGCTGCTCGAGATCTCGACGAGCTTTTTTTTACTCTGTCGAGTCGAGCTCGAGCTCGACTTTTGAGCTCGACTCGAGTTCGAGCTCGAGCTCGAGCTCGGCATTTCTCAGACAAGCTCGGCTCGAACAACCGCTGACTCGAGCCCGACTCGACTCGTTTGCACCCCTATGTGGCATGATGAGGTAGCTAAGGAATGGTCTCATTTCAAGGGTTTTGTTTGACCCATTGACTTGTTAACCAGTCAATGATGACTAGGATGTGCATGAGGGAGGTCAAGAGTGCTATAGAAAATCATGTCAAGAGATTTAAAGTTAGGGTTTAGAATTTAGAGTAAATACATGACATTGGAGGGGGTTTTAACCCTTCCAAATGGGTTGACCAAGTCAACCCAAGGGGGTTTTGACTTGGATAAATTTTGGATATGCCAAGGGTGTCTAATTTACTGCTTTTGATGGGTTAAATTGATTTAAAGTAGCTTGAATGATTAAACTTGATAAGTGTTGGGTTAAAGGGTTGATTTGGTCAACTATGGTTGACTTGGTCAACCTTGTCAAACCATGAGTTGAGTTTAGGTCAAACAGATTCAAATGAGTATTTTGAGATTAATGAAAGTGATCCCATGCATTTAGTAGTTCATTTGGGTTGAAAATGGATGTTTAAATCCATTAAGAATATTTTGGTCAATCATGATTGACTTGATCAACTAGGTCAAAATAAAGAGTAAGTTTGCATCCAATGTGTTCCTAAAGTCATTTAGGATCCATTGGAATGAAATTTGGAGTTTGATATGGGTTGGAGATGTTAAAATTTGAGGAAAATACCAAAAATCCCCTTAAATGTATTTTGGTCATTTTGACCCCTAGTTAAACCTGGGTCAAATTGGGTCTGGAAAAGTGCAAGTTGCTGGACAATATGTCATGGGGGAGGCCGTGGACATTATCAAGTGGTTTGGGGAAGGTCCCAATATCATATTCCACAAAGTGGAGGGTCTAGTGGCATGGATCGTAAATTTTTGAAGATTTTGCAGCCTTTGAAAATGGATTTTATTTATGGGGTTAAAAGGGTCATATTGAGCTCAAACTTGGAGGGCTGATCTCAGATATATGTCTTAACAATAGACAATTGATAGATTTTGAATCGAAGGTCAGTTGACTAGGTTTTGAAGTGTTTTAAAAAATACTATGAAAGGCTTTCAGGACATAAACCCTTAGCCTTAGATTTTGGACTGGATT